GTTCTGCTCTGAAGATATTGCACAAGTTTCTCTCATTTTCTTAAAATGATCCCACACTTTTGAGCTCCGTTGTCAGGTAGCCATGATACCAGAGCTTGTCTGTATAATGTCTTGTGACGTCCACAGCCTACCCCAGTTACCACTACTGTGCATGTGTGTCAAGGACAGAAAGGCAGACGTGGCAGTGGAAGGTGTCAAAGCAGTTTGGAGAGAAAAACAAAGTAAAGAACAAAAAAAAGAATTAATCGATTATTAAATTAGTCATCGATTATTTTAATAACCGATTAGTCGTCGATTATTCGATTAATCGTGGCAGCCCTACTTGTAACGCTAACATCTTGTGTTTTTAATAATAAATAACGTTTAAAACACTGTTTTTGTAATCCTAGAACAAAAACTTAAACTTTATGAATTTTGTCCTCACATTTCTTCAAACAGCACCTCCAGTTTCATTTATAATTCATATTTTTAAAGACAACCTCAAAGTGCAATTCAAAACAAAAAGTCACAAAATCACATCTACATTGTGTGAGGTTGTATGAGTGTAGGTACATATAAGATGGGGTGGTGGGTATATTTACATTAACCTTGTACCCACGGGCTTCTTGTTTTGACTAAAGCAGCAGTACCCATCACACACCAGTCAGCACGCAATCCCAATCTCCTCAAAGCAAAAGAAAATATAAAGGCTGAATGAAGATCTTTCAAAGCCCCCCAGAGGTAGAAGCTTTCATTTTCACTGGACCCTGGAGAGCTCTTTAGGCTCAGAGCCAGGAAGGATGTTACTGTTCTGCTGGCAGGAACAGGGCCAATTGTTAAGGTGTTCCCTTCACTACAGGAAGCCAGATGGAAACACCTATTGTCTGCAGACACAACACATGAACTACTACTATAGGGTTAGGTGCAAATGGAGTTTAAGAAAGAGCAATAATAAAATATGATATATAGTATGGGTGAGATTTCTTCCACATTAAATGTAGTTTTCAAAAGGTGCAAATGAAAGCACTAGGAAGTGAAAGAGAAAGAACTAACTGAATACAGAATATATTATATACATGTTAACAAATATTTAAAAAGAAAGGAAAAGATGCACAACTCACCTTCTGGTCAAAGAACAATGTTTTATACCTAATGGGTGGCTCGGTGGTGTAACGCAGCTCTCCCAGTCTGGTGAAAAGTTGCGACTTTAGTGAGGTCACGTGAAAACAAGTAAAACACAACATTAAGACGCAGGCAGCTGCAACTCTGTCCAAACATCGAGTCTTCCTGATGTCAGCCATGATTCAGCTACTGTAAACCACAGACAGCCTCTCTGTCTCCTGCTTACTGTTAACAAGAGTGCATGAGCTGTGTTTGCATTACTCGTCCCTTTAGAGAAAAGGAAGTGAGATTCCTCCTGTCAGCAGGTTAGAAGAGGTGTTGCCATTCAGCTTCTTGTGCGCTAAATTTAGCATGAGCGCTAAATGAGAGCTAACGCTACTACTCCGTTCAGATCACCAGCCTTGTAGTTAAATATCTCCCCAAACTGGAACAACTTTGATAAACTGCACCAATGATGAACTGTCTCAAACAGCCGGGGGATGTACACAAAGCAGATGGTTCGTACTATAAATGACGCGCAAAGGTTGATGGGAGTTGGAGTCAGCCTGGGGAAACAGCGTTAGTTGAAAAATACTTTCCTTTTTGAGACGATAACTCACAAAAGCCCTAAACGTATGTTTAAAAAAAACAACACAATAAAAATTACTTAAGCATATTTGCAAAGAATACTAGACGAAATAAGAACAGCTATTATCAAAGCGGCCATTACCGGAAATACGTAAACAGTAATGAGCTTGACTGGTCGGAAACTTAAAAACAATTGTTGAATATAGATTGAAAAATGATTTATGATCAAAGAAAACACATGTTGTCGTCTTATTTTTGCTTTAATTGTTGTACCCATAATTAAAAAAATAGCAATACGAAGGGTGTAAGCTTATATTTTGCAACGATGTTATTGTCACGTGACACTCGTTCTCTCTTTTCTTTTTCCGGTATGATTTTCAAAATAAAATTTCAAAACCAGGTCAATTGAAAACTAGAAGTTGGGATGTGGAGAAATAGGGTTTTGATCTGTCAAACTAAAACGAGTTAATGCCTTATTAATGTATCATTTGAATGAACTGTCTGAAATAATCATAATTTTTTGAAGAAATAAAAAAGAAAGATTTTGAGGAAAAACGCTATCAAAATAAAAATAAAAAACAAAAAAATTGTATAGGTCTTCTGGACGGGTTCTTCTCTAATGAAACGTTTCGTCTCTCCTCCAAGAGACTTCTTCAGTCTGAGAGTTTCAGGCAAAATTCAGGCTTTTAAGCCCTGCCTCCATGTGACTGATACATCACATGGCTATCGTTGACACCTAATTAACACCTATTGTTAACAGGGGGTGGCGTGATACTGGCAATAGCAGCACTGTAGGAGGGGGACAACTGAAAACGGAGGCCTCCACCTCTGTTTAATGATGGACGGTCTTTCTTCACATGTGACGTATCAGTCACATGGAGGCAGGGCTTAAAAGCCTGAATTTTGCCTGAAACTCTCAGACTGAAGAAGTCTCTTGGAGGAGAGACGAAACGTTTCATTAGAGAAGAACCCGTCCAGAAGACCTATACAATTTTTTTCTTTTTGATTTTTTACCTGGATTACTGAGATGCATCAGGACGCTTTCAAAATAAGATTTTTTTCCCCCCCTGTGAGCTAGCAATGATTTTTCCTACTGGGAAAATGCTATCAGTAATCTGAAAATGTAACTGGGTCATTTTGACCCAATTTTACTTAATCCTCGTTTCGATATGATGGGTCACATTGGTTAAATGGTATCTCCAAAATTTGGTGCAGTAGGTTAAACGTTTACTGCTTATTCAAAATACACAAACCATTTTTTAAAACCAGTTGACGTTGGGCTTACACGACATTAATTTTGATTTAAAAAGGCTAAAAATGTAAAGATCTTCAGAAAATTTGGAGAACATTATGTAAATCTTCATTTTGAAAGTATGTCTACTTCAAAGCAAAACTTAAAAAAAAATACTTTAATGTAGTACCGCCCGTTTTAAAGAAACTAGACCCAGTCCATAATAACATGGGATAATACACAACAATTAGTAGAGTTGTTTAATGTTATACAGAGCATGTTCAGGATTATTTTGTACACAAAAGGAAAAAAAGCACAACATACCAGCAACATTTTCATTGTACTTCTCACTTTGAGTTGATGGGAAGATACAAAAGATGAGTAACTGCAAATAAATCTAAGTTACAAGGCAAAGCAGAATGCTCACCATTCTAACCAAAAAGTACTGATAGTACAATATAAAAAAGAGTGCAAAAACGTTCTACTGTACTAAATCTGTACAACAAATAAAGTAGATGTTACAATAAAAAAATGATTTAAAAATTAATAAACAAGTGTGCAGTATACGACATTGTGCAATACAGCAGACTGCAGTTATGGTAAATAAATGAAAACATTTATACACTACCACGCTGAATAATTAAGGAAATTTAGCAAAAATAAAATTTAAAAAATAAAAATAAAATCGCACATGTAAGTGATTAAATTATATAGAAACACATGGACAAACTCATTCGATTTCCATGACTAGGCAGCAGCGACAAACGCAGGCGTAATCATGTCTATGGGTGACAGATACAAACAGCTGACAATCAAAACTTCTGCTGAACAGACGACACACAAGTTCTTTTGATAGAAGGCTTTCCAACTGCTTCAAATTAATTCACCTATCACAAGCACTGTCAAAATACTAAATAATAATAATAATAATAATAGTGACATACAATACTATTGTATCTAAATGGGTTTCGGTTTGTATTAGTTGACATGAAAACATATTCTAGCAGCAAGTGAAAAACCTCATTAGGAAAAAAAATGCTTCACAGTATGTAATGCGAGGTGTAAAATGATTCAGAAATGACAAGGCTAATAGCACTGAATGTGATTCTCAGAACAGAACTGACAGAAACAATGACAATTACATTTTCAAAGGTTTTTTTTTGCAACTTGATCAAGCTTGGTGATTCAAAACAAATGTATGTAAACAACAAAACTGATAACCTCCAATGATCATGAAACACGCCAACTACATTTGCTTTGTAACAAAACAGCTGGCAGAGATTTTTGCTCTCATAATACTGCTGGTGAATACTGATGTTTGATAAAAATGGATCCTAAAGCCCAAACAAACAAAATAAATCTTGCCACTTCACCTTTTTTTTTGATAAAATGAAGCCCTAGTTAGATTCCAGAAAGTATCACACAAATATGTACTTCCTGTTCCAGTGAAGAGAGTGGTCTCAATAATGGTAGCTTTAAAAAATAAAAATAAAATTGACTAGCTCTCTTGTACAGCCTAAAAGAGGCATAAGACTGAAAATGACCAAACTTAGCGGTGGCTTTATGCCATCTTTATGGGATGGAGGCATTGGGGCTCACAGTCAATGAGCTACTGTGTTAGCACAGCTGGGCAGCTGAGCTTCCTCTAATTCAGACTGCAGCAGTTCAAATAACTGATGGTTTTACCCTCGCCGGGCATTGGGGCAGTGTCATTGTTATCAAGCTTGTTCTGTTTGGCCTCTCGAATGAGTTCGCACGCCAGGTCGAGGAAAAGTTTCTCAACATTGTCGGACTCTTTGGCCGACGTCTCCAGATACAGCATGCTCTGGGTCTGAGCGAAATCTTCAGCCCTCTGCCTGAGGACCTCCCTCTTGTCCGCCAGATCTATTTTATTTCCTAAAACAAAACAAAGAAAATCCATGTAAAATACACCAGCAAAGCAAAACAACCAAGATTTTGGCTTCATATCTCAAAAAAAAATCATGTGGCAGAAATTGGACGGGAACAGTGTGTGTGTGTGTGTGTGTGTGTGTGTGTAATGAAACAGATGGGAATGGAGGTGTATGTGTGTGCCTGCTTGTGCAAACAGCAAAGACTTTGTGAGAGAAGTGGCAAAAATGACAAAGAAACCACAAATCAAACCAGGTGTGGACAAATCTGTTCAAAAAGGAGGCACGTTGCAGACAAAAGAATCGACCAATAAGCCAAGTGACACGGTTGATCATTATTTACTCTTAGACAAATATATGTCTCCATCGATTCATCGTTATTTTTTAATTCTTTTCTTCATTCCAGAGTCAGTGTGCCTTCTTCCGGGGCAGCCTGTCTGACTTTAAGATAATTGAAAAAGGGGTACCGCAAGGTTCATCCCTAGGTCCTTTGCTATTCTCTGTTTTTATTAACGATCCTCCACAAGCCTGTTCTAGCTGACAAATTCATTTAAATGCAGACGGTACTGTAATCTATTCTTCCAGTTCGGACATTTCTAAAATTCAATATTCATTATAATTTGATTTTAACCTAGTTTCAAAGTATTTTTCTTTTGTAAATAAGCTTTCTCTGAATAAAAATAAACTATGTATGCTGTTTTGCATTTGACCAAATTATTTATCTTTATCAAACAGGTGGTATATTAACTACCTGGATGAAACGGCATTACGAAATGCAGAGGAATTTAAATACTTAGATATTTGGCTTGATTCCCGTTTATCTTTTAAACCTCATATTGATTCAATTTGTAAGAACATATTTGGTTAAAGTCACATTATTGAGCTGTAGAAGGTTTTTCTCTTTCAGTATGTAAAAGAGTTGTCACACAACTGGTGTTGCCAACTCTAGATTATGCAGATGTTTTTTATAGTTTTACCACAGAAACTAATCTTTGTCCCCTTCATATACTTAATGGTCTTTGTAGATTTACTCTGAGGTGTCCATTTAGGACTCATCACTGTCTTATGATTGAGTCCTTGAACTGGTCAGAAGAAAATTTCATTGGTTACCTCTTTCCGTATTTTTAACTGTCTTTACTTACTTTTTGTCAAACATCTTGCTCCTGTTTTCAATAAGAACAAAGACTCAGTTATTCTGGTCATACTCCTGACATGTATATGCACATGTATTTGGTATTTATATGTATTGTGTTATTTGGTGTCATTTTGTTGAGTGAATGTACCATAGTTACTATGAACCTTATATGCAGATGTATTTTATTTTATAGCTGGTTCGGTGCAGAGGAAGCTCTGAGTATACATGAGGGTGAGTGTATTTGAAGGCATGTCTATGTGTTTTAAAATTTTGTATTTCCAATTTAATTATTATGATTTGTACTTTTGTTTCTTATTTTATTTATTATAAGGACCCCCTTGAAAAATGAGATGTTACATCTCAAAAGGTTACCCTTGAAACAAATAAACAAATAAATAAACAATCCCTCGAGAAGTAAAGCTTTCTCACCGACTAATATAGTCACCACTTGGTTGTTAGCATACTGCTCAATCTCCCTCAGCCACTCTGGAAGGCACCTGAAGGAGTCCTCACAGGTAATGTCGTATGTGAGAATGAGGGCGTTGGCACTACGGTAATAGCTCTGAGTAATGGAGCGAAATCGCTCCTGTCCAGCTGTGTCCCATATCTGTAACTGGAATGGAAAAGATGGTAAACAACGTGAGTAACTGTTCATTCAAATTATTACAAGGATCACTCTAAACCTGACATACCTTGACCTTCTCCCCTTTGATTTCCACAGTTTTAATCATGAAATCCACTCCAATAGTAGCCCCTTGTCCAGGTGGGAAAAGGCCCTAAAGTTTACAATCAAATCTTACATTGAACACTCAGTTTTCAAAGTTTGAGAACTGCAACAAGTTAAAATGCAAACCTGAGTAAAACGCCGGACGAGACATGTTTTCCCGACACCAGCATTTCCTATGAGAACTATTTTAAACAGGTAGTCATAATCTTCCATACTCATTCTAATCTGTGAAGAAAAAAAACATTTGAAAACAGAAGTTAAGAGAAGAGATGGTGGAAGCACAGAAATGTTATGAAAGTGGCACACAGGGTAACATCCCTTTGACTTGTATCACAGGTGGCATTTGACCCGAATTCCAGTAGCTTCTACCAATAACTGCAAAAACAGTGAAAGACGTGAGTTGCTCCTGATCTGTGTTTATGAAATAGTTCGCGATGACTTGGGTCACTGTTAGATTAATATGCTTTCATCCAAATTAGCTACATGACGACTAAATCTGTCAGTGCATCCATTAATTACAATACAGATTCAGTTTTATTCATTTGCACAAAATCCAAGTCCTGCTACTGATAATTTAATGCTAATGTGCTAAAACATTAACTATTTATTTTTAAGCGATACTAAAGAACAACTTGACAAGTTGCTCAACATTCCTCATTTTAATGCAGTGGTAACTGCATGCTTTTTCATGAGAAGGCTAGATTATTACGACTTATTCTCGTAATATTATGACTTTAATCTTGTAATACTACGACTTTATTCTCATATTATGACTTTGTTTTTGTACGACTTTAATCTCGTAATATTACAATTATATTCATTTTATGACTTTAATCTCGTAATATTAC